CCTCGGCCCCGGCTCCCAGCGCTGATAAATCTTCCCAGCCCAGCACTAATGGGTTCCTGTGTGGTTACTCCTGGAGAGGAGCCCACAGACGGAAGGGCAGGATGCTAATTCACTGGGAATTCACCAAGGAGAGCTCATTTACTCCTTCAGCACCACGTCTCACGTTCAGCTGCTCAGCCCATCTCTGATTTTTAGCACCACTGCACTGCCAACGAGGCGAGGGAAGAGGCCCTGCAGCGCTGCAGCTCCGGCTCCCCTGGCCCTCCCAGGGCTCTGCAGCTCCTCCTGCACAGCAGCCCCAGCTCCCCTCGGCCCCACAGCCACACACAGCCCCCAGAAACCCGGTGGCATCACAGCTCCACAACCACCCACCATAATGTGCTTGTACGGGCAACAGTAAATCTTGTGCTAATTCCTGCAATCTCGGGAAAACGTCCAAGCCCTTGGTGGGCCCCACGCTGCACCTGACGCAGGTAGAAAAATAATCACTCTAATCTAAGTAATAAACTCTTTTTATCAAAGTCCAAAAGATAGATTTTTTTGCTTGGAAAACAAGGATATGAATTTGCAGAAGATAATTTTTTTACTGAATCTGCCAAGATTAGAAAGTTTCTCTTCTTTCCCTCCCCACAATTCAGCCCTTATCCTTTGCCAACTCTTTAAACAGAATGGAATTAAATCACTAATTAGACAGAGGATGAAAAGAATATTCATGAATTGGACAAAGCAGAAAACAAACAAACACCAGAAATGCAAATTTATGTTAATTTTTCAATATACCTTGATGATTACTTTGTCATTACAGGGCCATAAGGCAGAAGTCAACAATTAAGAGTTATTAGTGGAATAAATAGCTGGAGAAGGACTCTCTGAAGAACAAAGCACTTATGGACATCGTTTGACATCACTGATTCTCACTTCTTCAGAAACTGTGACCTCAACAGGCTCAGACCCGGAAATCTCCTCCCATGGGCCCCGAAAGGATGCAGAAGGGTTAGAAATGCACCAGTCAAAGGCAAGGAATGAGGGTAGCAAAACACACATCAGCAATACTCTGTACAAAGACACATTTCCTCCAACCCTGCACGAGCTGGGGGAGGCTCTGCTCTGCAGCCACTGCTGCATTTCACCCAAAGCACCGGGGAGGGGCTCAGCTGTCTGAAACCCTCCTGTGATACCCCAGCAATGATGCTGCGACCCTGGAGGGAGGCCTGAAGGGTCTACAGAGCTGCAAGAGTTGGGTTAGGGTTAAAAAACATCCAACACCCTTCCTGACACCCTCTGGTAACCAAAAAACTTCTCAGGGGAGGTCACAAGTTGCAGCCATGGTTGGATTATCCAGATGTGGCACCGAGCCCTGCTAGGGACAGACAGAACAGGGGTGTGGGCCTGGGTGTACAGGTGGGGTCAATCCCATTTCATGCAAGGGATATTTATCCCAGAGGCACATGAGTTAGAGGCAGTGAGGGCAGCCAGTTCTGGGTGCAATCCTCACCCCACTGATGCCAGAGGAGTCACGGATGGTTCAGGCTGCCCACCATGAACCCGGGGTGGATCTCCTCAAACCAGGGCAGTACTTAAGTGGGAACAAATGATAAGACTCTTAAGGAAAAAACCAGCAGCTGTGGTCCAGCTGGCTTGCCCCATTCTCTCAGGCAGCAGCATATTCCATGATCTCTTTTCCTCCAACCCTTTATGTTCCACTGTGGGCTTGCTACTCAGCGTTGCTATTAGAGGGTGACGTGGGTCCAGATGTCTTGAATACAGAGCTGCAATTAAAGTGCAGCACACACCCACTTTTGTGTCAAACTGTGGCAACTATTCACACATCTGGATTATTTTCCCTCAAAGCCTTCTGTTTCTTTAAATTATTATCAGAGGCACAATACTAATAAAGATTTTTGCAAAAATGCTGAAAATTGAGGTGCGACTCGGGGTTGCCCAAAACCTCTTTGCCAGCAACCTTGTTTGGGGAAAAAAGATAAATAAATCAAAATGCAGTGTTTCCACATGGCAATGGGCTCCTCCACTGCGTCTGCACCTCATCAATCACGCATTGTCTGCCGGAGAGGCGAGCCTTGTAAATGTCACATCCACTCAGGCCCGAGGAGAGGCGAATCAAAATGCAGCGAGGAGTTTTAATTGGATAGTGTAATTAAACTAAAAAACCCCAGCAGAATAGCTTTGACAGGATAGATGAAGACCCCTTTTAATAGGGCTACAAAACAGATTTGTTAAAAGGATGAGGCAATGCGCGCTCCTGATTGCGCTCAGGAGAACTTTTATGAGCGGCTGTTGGAGGGGCTGCAGTTAATCAGCACTGCAGTGCCCGGCTGCTCGTGCCCCTGCCAGCCCTTCTCTGCAGGGACAGTGCTGCTGAGCGCTGCCCTGGCACAGCCCGAGCCCACGGGCACAGGAGCCATCTGTGCCCGCTGCCGCCCCTGCCTGCTCAGCATGCCCAGGGCTGGGCTCTGCCCTTCTGCTCCGCACTCGCGTGCTCCTTTCACTCCTAGCCTGAAGTTTGGGAACGTTTTCTCTGCTGAACCTGTTTTTTACCTTCTGGTCAGAACCTGTGACTAGTCTCCTGTTGAGTGGGAATTTTACTGTGTTACTTCTTGCTCCGCTGCAGGAGCAGGGATATCAGGAACCATGATACTGTGGCATTTTGTGCACCAATTGCAGAGCACACGCTGCCTCTGCTCTGGCCCCACTGCAGGCTCTGAGCAAACCTGCAACAGCTCTGTTGGAGCCCCCAGAGAAGCAGGAACCCAATGCCCTCCCAACACTTCCTGGGTATTTTCAGCCCTTCCACAACCCAACAACGAATTCATTAAATTAGTACTACCCAATGTGCATAATCAAGAGAAACTGGACACTGAATTAAAACATCAAACACCTTTAGCTTTAAATGAAAACTACATAAGGGGAGTTCAGGCATGGCTATCACTTGCAGCCAGGGTGAATACTGCTGGAAAAGCTATTTTTGTGCAGATGTGGAATTCAATGGGAAAGACTGACTCGTGTAGCAACATCAATCAAAACGTCGGCTCGGCTGGCAGCTCCCGACAGTAAGGCAGGTTCAGAGGTCACGGGATAAAGAAAAAGCCAAGCTCTGGTTCAGCTCTAATATCTCCTTGCTGGAAGTCTCACCGAGGTACCTGCCCCCCTTCTGGACTCGCAGCTTTCATTAATCTTCTTGCCATCTTTTTTAACTAGTCATGCAGAACCGCTCGATAGCGAGACATATAATGGGGAGGCCCTGTGCCTATTACCAGGTTAACACTCTGTTAAGCCCCAGTGCAACAATGGAATCAGAATTTAAAGGAAATCTTCAGCTGCAGGGTGCAAAGCGGGCAATTAAATTACAAACTGAAGTTACCCATGTACTCCGTGACCTACGGAACACCTTTGTTTACACTTACCTTCATACCCAGGGTATTTTGACAAAGCAACTGAGATGTCTCTGCTTCATGAAAACAAAAAAAAAGGCAGATAAAGGATCACAGAAAATGTTGCTTCAGTGTTTCAAGTAAATTATCAAATAAATCCAATTTCTGCAGCTCCTGTGGAGCACAGCTGCCTGGGAGAGCCCTGGGCAGGCTCTGATCAGGTGTGGTGGCACAGGGGCTGCCCTGGGCTCTGCACTCCCTGCCCACTCAGCTGTGCCCAGCAGCCCTGGGCATCCATCAGGGCCACTCGGGCCACAGAGCACTGCACACGGCAGTGGGCAGTGACACTGAAGTTTCTCCCCTGTCCAAGTAATGTAAGAGACATTACCAGAATCAGATTTCCTTTAAATTACACTATTGCAAAGGGATATAATTGTATTAAACGTATTATGTTGCTTCCTTAAGACTTTATATTATGTACACTTAATTGAGATACAAAGCTCTTTTCAGCTATAAAAATGACAACTACTTTATTAAGGCCTAAATCTTATTTCTCCATGATAGGATGCTTCCTTTCAAGACTCAAAACATTCAGAATCTCTCATGATAATCAGGCTGAACCTGATTTAAAGAAGATGTTCGTGCCCAGTGTTGTCAGGTTCTAATGGCATCGAAGCAAGCCAGCAGGGCCATTAACTCTCCCCTCAGTCTAAATCCAGGGAGTCTGATTTAATTTACAAATAAATCTTCAAATTCTGACCCAGGGCTACTACAAGGGCAAACAAAAATCATCAGCCATCCCTGCCTACAATCCCCCCACTAATGGCAAATGAGATGCCAGAGCTTTCTGTTCTCATTTTCTGCCCTCACTGAAGGCAGCTCTGAGTTCTGTGAACTCTCAGCACAGGAAAACTCAGCCTGTCCAAAACGGCTGCGAGCTGTCCATCAACATCCCCAGCACGTCAGCTCTGAGGCTGCGGAGCCCTTACACACACACACACACACACACACAGACACACAGACACACAGACACACAGACACACACAGACACACACACACACAGACACACAGACACACAGACACACAGACACACACACACACACACACAGGTGCCACCAAAGCTGCCCTGCAGGAGCCAGCGCAGGGGGAAGCAAAGGACACGAGCACGAGGCTCCCACTGCACCCTGACACTGGTCCCAGCACTCGACCTCCACTCCAACAACCCCTGCCCTTGCTAAAAAGCAGGAGCCTGGTCCAAACTCCTCAGCTCTCCAGAGTCACAGAGCCCAGCCCAGCAGAGCCCAGCTGGTTCCAACCCCACTGAGGTGCCCGGGCAGGGAAGGCAGCCCCAAACCCCAAGCCCAGCACAATGGGACAAGCACGAGCACTTCTGGAAGAGGAGATGGAGCAGGTTTGTGTTACACGAGATAAAAACATGAAAACAAAATATATTGCAGAACTCAAAGACCTTATCTGTACCCAGCCTCTCTTTGCAATAATTCATTCAAGAAAGATCCGGGAATAATTTTTGATGTAAACTCTGCTACAAACATACATCACCGCGCTGATAAAAATCACAGACAAAACTTGTGAAATACAGTGAGTTTCATTCCTTTATGCTACTAAAATAACTTTTTTCCATTTAAAATTCAAGAGATACTGATCTGCTGTTCAGTTCCCCAAAATGCATCATTCTGAGATGTCACACTAAAAGTCTTTTCTGCTGGCCTAAAATAATGACTTTTGGAACATCTTTAGTGAGTTGGGAAAAGGTCAGCAGTTTCAGGAGGAAGTATTTTCTCCTTTTGGAACTGTGCTGAACCATTATTTAGTAGGAGAAGTTTAAGATGTTCACACAAAAATGAGCAAATAAGCCCCTCGGTACTGCCGTGGCTGCCTTGGTTCCAACCTGTCAGTGTCCTCTGCAAAGCCACTGTGATTCTTCACTCAGTGGTCCCCATGTGCAGGCACTGCCCTCCTGCACCTGGGCTCTGTTTGGGGGTTGAAACTCCTGGGTTGGCAGGATCTGGGGACAAACACAGCTCCCCACAGCAGCAGGTGCTGCCTCTGGGGCTGGAGAGCCCCATCCTGCAGGATGAGTGTCCAGGGATTGTCCCCGGTGTGACAGCAGTGGAAACCTCAGGCTTCAACTGGACTCTTCAAGAACAGCCTTGTTTTGGGGGCACCATTTTATCCCCTCACTGTCTGCATTTGCAGAAATGTGGGTACAGAGCAGAGGTGTGCCAGGATTTACCAGCCAAACTGGCCCTTGCACTGTACACAAAATCCTCACGTGTTTCAGACTGCCAGGTCACTGGGGAAGCTTCTCCTTGGGATTGTGCCTACCCAAGGACCATGAAATCTTGATGGAGAGACAGAAAAGGAAGACAATGACTAAACCAAGAACATGGAGTAGGAAGGGGTAATGAAGGGGAGAAGGATATAGTTCAATAATTGCTGATAAAATCTGTGGCAGCCATAAATTTACTCTTCCAAGAGAATTCAACAGATCATTACCTCTGTAAATATGTATCACATAATTCTTTCTCTCTGTCACCTTGCAGATAAGTACTTAATACCAGCATCTCACTACCCTGCAGAGGCACAAGTGCAATAAAATCCAGCTGAGCTTTTGAACTGCAGTCACTTTTTGATCGTAGACGGTTCCATTTTGGCCCCACTGGGAGCCATTGCCCAATTCTCCCAGGGCCCATCCTGTGCTTTTTAAAACAACTTTTCCAGACAGAGACTCTCATTCCTCTCCTGACACAACAAGCAGAAGCCCTTGCTTTTGGAGTTGCACTCACAGAGCCAGCTCTGACCTCTGGCAATGGCTGAGCTGGGATGTCCAGCCTGTCCCCAGACCTGGCTGTCACTGCTGTCCTGTCACCACCACAGAGCAGCATGCCCAGAGTGGCACCTTCAGCCCAGTGACCCTGCAGCCATGGCAAATGGGGCAAATCCAGGCTGAGCTGACACTCTCTGTATGTCCGAGATCTTCAGTTGCACCAAAGACATTAAAAACCAGCCTGGAAGTTAAAAAGTGCCCAAGAATTGCAATTATGTTGAAACATGGATTTGCTGGCTGTGCTGCAGGGCTGGAGACAGCTGGGCAGAGCCAGAGTTCCCTTGGTGGCACAGTGGGCAAGAAACACTGAGTGATGCCATTAGCTGAGAGCAGCATCAGAGGACACTCGTAAAATGTGTGTCTGTTTATGCTGTGTTCTCTGTAACAGAACTGAGTCAGATTAAAAACATCCTGTAATGAAAAAAACACACCTACAGAAAGAAAAGGACACGGTAGCAATAATTCTTTGGACATGGAGCACATCCAGGGAGGCAGAGAAGAGAGAACATAAATAAAAAGGACTACTCACTTGGGCTTTTTTCTTCCGCAAGGTCACAGGCACAGAGGAGTTCAGAATCGATTGAAATGGGTTTCTGCTTAATCCAAAACTTAGTGCTGGCCTTCTGATTAGTAACAGGGTCTATCTCTACCTTGTCTCCAGAAATACCTGAGATGAGAAAGAATAGAGAGCCACAAGAGTGATCTGTTTAACCGATTTCATATCAGCCGTTTGACACACTTTATAAATCTTAAATGGGCTGAAGGTATATTGCCCTTCTGGGCTTTCTGAAGGCACGGGAGCTTTGGAAACCAGAAGCAAATGGTTATCAAACTGCATTGATAATCTGCATTTTATTCCCCTGCATAAGCATACCAAAAGAAAGAAATATCACGGAAAAGATTCTTCTAAAGGCATACAGAGCTCTTCTGGAAGCAGTAGCTACACGAGCTGTGAGATTTATAGGAGATAGTGCTGGTTTTGCAGTCACCACTGCTCTGTGTAACAGACACTATCACCACCCACCCCTCTCCATCTGCTGTACAGCAGACATGCAACCATACAATAACAGAGCCAGAGGTTCAGACTGTGCTGGGCTGGGAGGGAACCATCGGGATCACAGAGTGCAATGCTGGCCCTGCACAGGACACTGTGCCTGCAGCACTGTCCCAACAGTGCCTCTTGAACCCAGGCAGGGCTGATGCTGCCCACTTCCCAGGGAAGCCTGCTCCAGAGCCCAGCCCTGCTCTGGGTGAAAATCCTTTCCTGATATCCAACCTCAGTGTCCCGTGTTTCAGACTGCCCCTTCCCTGAGTCCTGTCACGGCCACGAGAGCAGAGATTGGCACCTTCCCTCTGCTTCCCCTCATGCTACAGCCCCCAGCGAGGTCTGGCCCCACAGAGCACCCTCATCTCTCCTCAGGACACTTCCCCTCCAGACCCTTCCCACCCCATGGCCTCCTCTGGGTGCTCTCTAATGGCTTCATGGCCTTTTCACATTGTGCTGCCCACAGCACTCAAGGTGAGGCCACAGAGGGCAGAGGACAAGGAGGATCCTGCTGGAACCAGCTCAGGAACTGAACTGAGCTGAGCAAACTTCCCAGGCAGCTTTTTATACCTTAAAAACAATGATGTGTCTTCAGGCATGAGTTACAGCGTGAAGCTCGTGAGACGTCAACAAAAGGAATATAGGAAAAAGGTATTTAAATACCATTTAACTTTTGCATCTCTGAAAAAAAAATAATCAGAAAACCTTCTCCCTCCTGAGGGTTCTGACAGGGCAGGAGCCTGGGGGGCTCTGGCTGCAGCCCCTGCCCTGAGACCAGGCCAGCCTTACCCACCCCTGGGTCATGGAACAGCCCCTAACCCAACAATCATTAAACACACCTCACATCAGAGAGATCACATTGCAATTAAGCATTGTATCCAGAGTCCAATTAACACCCAGGCTCCTGCAACTCACTAATTTGAGTAGGCTGAGGCTGTGTCTGGAGCCCATTTTGGTTTGTGTTTTAATTTTGGACAGATTATGTAAAATTGGTGTTGGTATTTCACTGTGATGGTTCATTATTCCAAATGGTATTTGCTGTAGTTTAAGGAAAATATGGAAGTTGATGATACAAAGTCTCATTTTCTCACTAAAAAAAAGTCAGGGGAAGTTCTAAAAATAAAGGTGCAAATTCTTGATGTGGGAGGGCTGTTCCCCATCCCTTCCTCTAAGAGCATCACCCCTATAAATATCCTCAAAAAAATGTCACTGTTTGGTCCTGCAACTTCAAAATTCACAGTCAGTCAATACTGTTAATGCACCTTGTTAATTTGATAGGATTTGTCAGGTAACTCCACTGGAAAATTATATAAAACTGTTCCAGATGAACAGATGATAGTGACATGAATTAAAGTGATAGAACAATAGTGGAATATAAACCAGAAATGACACCCAAAGTGGCTGTTGATTTATTGCCATCCTGAGTTTGGTTCTGGGCTTCCATGTATATTAGTGCTACAAATCTGGGTCCATTTAGCAGCGAGATGCTCATACATACATCACCAGCTCCTGCTCCAAGCCAAGGTCACTCCCCATTGCATCAATCTTCTCAGCAGAGGCTACTTCACCATTTTGTAACCATCTCAGATGGAACAGACTTCCTCCTCTTTCATCTTTTTTTTATCATGTAAAATACACTTTAACTTCTATTATTTTTATCTGCAAATTGTTGCTGTATACTTCATCCATTATTTCTGTATCTCGACATCGCTGGCTGAAGCTCACCCACATCCAGAGAGTACATTGACAAAGAATGTTGTCTTTTTTGTGTTATTGTTCTCACAATCTGGATGTGTTGAAACCTAAAATCAAAACAGTATTGTGTCTGTGGTTTCTGCAGTCTCTGTCTCACAGCACAAATCACTCATACTCAAAACCCAAGTGAAAATGCTCCTTCTACTATTTTTTAAATTCATTCATTTTGTCAAAAGGAATGCCATCAATGTATGGGTCCTGTAGCAGTGTTCTGTTCTTGCTCCCTTTGTTGGGTCTGCCATTGCCCCCTCCCCTCTCTGAGACACTTGCCAGCAGTTGTTTTCCCAGACAATAAGCTCCTGTTAGTTGTGCTAATGTAATACACAAGTAAATGTGTCTTATTCCTCCAGCACAGGATAGAGCCTTTGTAAAAGTGCTGAGAGTGCTGCTGTGTGTGCATTACCCTGTGATATGGGCTGAAACACAAACCCCAGACCTTAAACTGCCACCTTGAATGCAAAAACCCCATCACTCAGAGGGCTGGGCACTCCTCCCATGGCCATGCACGCATCACCTTTTACTACAGAGCTACACACAATGCACAGAAAATCAAATTTACTCCCATGTTTTTCATAAACCTTGTCTCAAATTCAGTGGTCAGGCCTGAAAACAGCTAAAACATTTCAACAAGTGCAATCCACTCCTGCACAGCCCCTGGCACCACTGATCTGCCAACAAGGAGCAAAGGGGTGACAGAGGATTTTTGGGGTCCCCGAGAAACCCTTGCCCTGTTACAGCAGCTACACAGAACTGATGGCACACAAAAGCTGCAAAGAAAAGTCTTTGCAACCGGCCATCACCAAGCTCCCAGGCCAGTCACCTCTGAATTAAAAACTTAGCCCCTGTTGTTGCCATTCCAGGGAGGAAGAAGCAGTCACTCACTCACAGATAACACGCAACACTCACCAGCCCAAACCCACACTGCCCCTCAGTTTTGCCAATCTTGATCTTCTAATGTCTTTAAAACATTCAGGAGAAAGCCCAGCAACTTACTCAGACTTTATCAAAAGGTTTTGATTTTCTGTATTTGCCCAAGGTTTGAACGCCCTGCTGGGGTTTCCTTTGATTAAAAAAAAAAATTATATTATAAAGCCCCATTGTCAGTGCACTGCCATCAAAATCCCACAAGTTCACAGATTGTTATAAAAGGGAAATTTTATGGTCCTTACAGCACTGGGCAGGGTCAGCTCCTCCACTGCTGCACAAGTTAAGCCATTTGTTTCATTTAACAGCTCTTCTCCCTTAACCATTTATCTTTAGTGATCTGTCATGACCTTTTCAAGCTCTCATTTCTGACACTTCCCAGATACAGTGAGTCAAACTTCACTGGAAGCAAACTATCACACCCCGAGAGTTTGCTCAAGGCAGCAAACATGCCCAGCACTGCCCTGCTCCAGCACCGCAGATAAATCCTGCCTCAACTAGACAGCTCAAAATAAACCAAAAAAGCCTCTTCTGTCAGAATTTTACACACACACACTCTTACATGTGCTTCAGGATGGAGGAGTGAAGGGACTGTGGTGACAATAATACAGGAGTTGGTATAGTTTAACAATGCTGAATTCTACAGAATAAATGTATTTTGTAAACATTATGGCACTTAATATCTTACTGCTGAATCATTTCTTTATGGAAGTATTTGCAGGAATGTCACAGGTCACCTACCAATGCATCATTAATCAAATTTTCACAATTTAAACACAAAGATAAAAAGCCATTCAATCATTTTAAAACAGTAATGGGGCTTTTATAATTCAGGATTCTGTCAGCCCTTGGCCTTCAGGTTTTCAAAAGCATTCAGCAAGCCAATAAGGACAATATAAAACCTTTAGAGAATGCTCATTTATTTTGTTCCACCTCAAATTTCCACCAGGTCGTTAAAAATCTTTCAGTCTCAGAAAAGGAAAAACCCAATAACTCCCAATTTTGCAAAGCCTCATTTAAAAATAACAAAACAGTTGGCAAGAAGCTTTCCATTAGGAAGCCTAGACTGAAAAAAAGAGACGAGGTCATTAAATAATGGCCTTCCTTCAGAGGCAACATGTGCAACTGATTGGGGATAATAAAAATACTGAAGTATTTTCAACGGAAAGCAATATTTTTAACTGCTGAAACGCCAGCAACACTTTCAAGTGCACTGTGAGAAAATGGAGCAAGGTGATAACGATGGATTCAGAGTGGCAGAGATGCCAGGCAGTGCTGGCACAGCCCTGGGCTGCCCTGCGCCATGGCACGGGTGGATTTACCTAACTGCACGTCCGTGGTGAAGCGCAGCCGGTGGATCATGCTGACTTTGAAGGACTTGTAGTGGTGGCTGCTGAGCATGTCCTGCACCGTGGCTATGTCGATCTGGGGGTCCTCCTCCGACACCTCTTCTCCTCTTGAACCTGCAAGACAAGGCCCGGGGGCTCCTGAAGGGAGGTTTGGCTCGGGGCACGCCTGGTGCCGTGGCACCGCCACGCCTGGGGGTGCCCAGGGACTCTGAGTGGCTCTGGGGCAGGAGATGCCACCCTGCACCCCAGGGCAGCCCCCCAGGCACTGAGGCTGCGTGGAGAGCAGCACACCGTGCTGGGGACCAGCTCTCTGGTGGCACAGGCAGCCCTGGACCGTGGGTGCCCAGGGGATGGGCAGGGCACCCTGCTGGCACCCACCCCTGCCCCCCAGCAAGGAGGCCAGAGCTGCCCAAAGCCCACCCAGAGGCGTCTGTCTGTCCCCAGAGGCGCCTGTCTGTCCCCAGAGGCGTCTGTCTGTCCCCAGAGGCGCCTGTCTGTCCCCAGAGGCGTCTGTCTGTCCCCAGAGGCGTGTGTCTGTCCCCAGAGGTGCCCCCTGGATGCCAGCACAGATCCCCCATGTGCCAGCAGCACCTTGGGCACGCTGATGTGAAGCTGCACTTTATTTACTGATTAGTATTCTCATTACCACTGCAGGTACTGCCTTTATAAAAGGCAACAACTCATTAAGCCAAAATGCCAATTACTGAAAAAATATAACACACTTTAAAGATTTTTTTACATTTTATGACGTTGGATTAACACCAATTTAAACATTACTATAATGTGATATATAATTGCACAGAGTAATTTCGATGCCAGCTGCTAATAAAGCACCTCAGCTCAAAATGATCATTCAGATGCTGGTAGATAAAGTGGCATAAATATGTTTGAAAACTGATTTAGCTTCTTACAGGAGATCCTGAGGAATGACACGTTTTGTTTAATATCCTGGCTAATGTAGTCCTAAAAGCTGAACCAACTGCCAGTTCAGAGAACTAAATTTGCTGCAGGAGATTAATGAAAACTCTGTATTTTGCTGAAATTTTAATAATGGGAAGATGAGATGATGGAGTTTTAGCACAGATTTTAAAGCTCCAGCAAAGCAGGTACCAAATTGTCAGATTTTTCAGTGTTAATTTTGCTTGAGACTTGTACTGTTGGAGTGGCCTCAACACCACACCACTGTGAGCATCTGCTGCTAAATGAGTCCAAAGCCACATGGGGAGCATAAAGCAGGAGATTGCCAGGACACAGAATTTCACCACAGCTTTCCCAGAGCTGCCCTTCTCACACGCCACGGACCCTCCTTTGGGGAAGGGGACACCAAAGGGTTAAGCCACAAATTGGGCTGTGCCATTCGACTTGAAAGGATTCCAAAAATCAAATTAAACAGTCTCCATGTGAATTTATGCAGAGCCATCTTAACACTGCAAGCACTCCATGCTCCAGAATGACAAGATAAATTGTAATGGCTCCTTCCGAGACATTACAATGCATTTTGTCACAGACCCCTGTGTTAATGTCTCTATACTATGGATTATCATAATGTATCATGTCAAACCCTCATGCTGCACTACTCCAAAGATACACTGAGATATGTCAAACTTTTTGGTGCACTTAAAAGCATCTTGAGGGGCTGTGGCGTGGCAGAGCCCGGCAGTGGGGCAGGAGGGTGGCAGTGGCACTGCTGCCCCCCTGCCCAGAGCCAGGCAGGACCCTGCTCCAGGCTGGGTGTGCCCACAGCCCTGTCCCCACGCTGTGTGCCCACAATGGCACCTGTGCTGGGACAGGAGCTGGCACAGGGCAGCAGACACCCCTCCAGCTGGGCCTGGGCTGCCCACACTGCCCCAGGGCACAGCTGAGTCCCCTGGAGCAGGGGGAGCTCGCTCACTCAGCCAGCTCCCCACTGGAAACCCTGATTTCCCAATGAGACAGCAGCAGGGGGACAGCAGCCCCAGCTCCACCAGGAGCCCAAGCAGAGCCTCCTCCCACGGGGGCCCAGCTGAGGCAGGAGCCTCCTGTGCCAGCCCCTGCCAGCCCCAGCACGGACAGAAAGGGCTCCTCAGCAGCAGCCAGCGCTGCAGGGGCACAGGCAGCTGCTGCGGGGAAGGGAACCTGCATTTCCCCCATAAAACAACAAAACACAAAGTTAACTGCACTGCAAAAATGTCCCTTATTACTTTAATGTACTAGAATATTGCTTAATGAAAGTTCTTAATTGCAATACAATTAATTACATACACAGAGTCCCCAATTACATTTTCCAATAAGACATTGGCTTTGCTATAGGTCTAAAGGCACTAAACCAATTTTAATATATTAAGACCAATTTCCCTTGAATACTAATTACTATCTAATGATAAAATGAGAAAGAGGAACTTTCCAGAAGTAAGATGGCAAGAATAAAACTAAATTAGCCATGAACGGCTTCCTACCACACATAAAGGCATTTCACATTACAAAGTGCAGCTTTCAGTTTAAAGATAAATCTTTGTGCAAGTTAAAAGTTCTGCACACTGGAAGCAGTTTATTAGCTCGAATGCTATTAGTAAATGCTGGCTGGAAAGGGGATTTCTCCATACATATTTCTTAATAATGGAAAGTTTTTGTTTCATTTAATACCCTGAAATATAAACTTTCTCTTTGCCCAAAGGAATGTGGCTGCTCTTCTCCCAGGAGATGCTTGCCATCATCCATATATATATTTATAAATGACTATGAGACTATGAAGAGCACATTTACTAGTAATAGCTGTTACAACAGAGTTTTTTCTGACTGGCATATCAAAGCTAAAAGTATTTCAAATCAAGACAGAATGCACGAAGTGAATATTTCAGTTCGCTGATAGGATTGTCAAGCCATTATTTTATTAATAGTGCAAAACTGTCAATATTTCTATTCTAACGTCATGCCAAAAGATAGCTCCTAAGCACCCCAAAATCCATTTTCTGACTGCAGGGGGGAGCAGGCTCTGCCCAAGGCAGGGACAGTGAGTGTTCTCACAGAGTGGAGCCCCTCTGTGCAGACAGGGCAGGGTCACCCTGCCTGGGCAATGCCACCCCAGGCTCAGAGCACCCTCCTGGATGGGCACACAGGGTCACCCTGCCTGGGCAATGCCACCCCAGGCTCAGAGCACCCTCCTGGATGGGCACACAGGGTCACCCTGCCTGGGCAATGCCACCTCAGGCTCAGAGCACCCTCCTGGACGGGCACACAGGGTGCCAAGGAGGGCAGGGGCGCTCCCCAGCTCAGGCAATTTGGAGCCAGCAGCCTCAGGGTTCCATCCCACAGCTCTCCAGGGCTCACCTTGGGCTCCCTGGCCTGGGAGGGAAGGGGAGCAGTGCAGCACAAGGACTTCAGGAGCAGGCAAAGGAGTCCCCTCAACACTCTGACTGATATTTATTCTGAGCCAAGGCTCCTGAGGCTCTCCTGGAGCAGAGCAGACTGACTGCCTCCTGCTACACCACGTACAAACTTCCACCAGATTTACTCCTTCAGTAATGGTGCAACCTGAACCCAGGCACTCATGAGAGCAAAGACCTGTGGGGGATACAGCTACAGGACACAGCCTGGATTCCTCCACAGATGATGAAAATACATTTAAAATGCAGTATCTGCAGTATTCTTTTAATTACAGAGCCTGGGTTTTAAAAAATGTTATTTTAAATCACAAGCAAAGCCCATGGAAGTATGACTAGTGAGGATCATTTCATAGATTAAAAATCAATACAAAAATAATAGGTGGGATGCAGACGTCGGGGAATTCTGGCTTGTGGAAGAGCACAACTCGATTAGTGAGGTCAGAATTGCTCCATTTCCTCAGCACAGCCCCCCTGCTCCCTCTTGCCAAGGTCTCTCCTAGGGTTTCTCAGAACCATTTTGTGCAGACATGAACCAGGAGCACCAGGGACATTTTGGGAGCAAGTGCCACCCCAGGGAGAGCAGCAGGCAGAGCTGAGTGCCCATCCCAGCCCCAGCACACGGGGGGCTCAGGCTGCTCCTGTCCCTGGTGCTGCTCTGGGATGCTCTGCTGGGATCAGACACAACTGCTGGGGCCAAAAAGCACCACTGAAAGGTTTAACCTTTGCACAGAAGGAACAAACTCTTCCACTGCTTGAAGCAGGCTCTTACAATGCTGTGTGCAGTGTTCTTGGCTGAGGGCAGGACTGTGAATGGTTTTACTCATTAGTACAATCAACACTTTTACACAAAATGGAACGAAAGAACACCAAACCTGAGAGCATGGCTGCTGTAAAGAATGAAGAATGGATCAAAATTCCATGGGGAACAAACACAAACCAATGTTAAATGTATTTTTTAAAAGTTTCTTATTGTTTCAAGTAAAGAAATAAATCAGAAAATAAATATTAGGATCATTAAAACAGTAATAGAATAAAAATATTTGAGCAGAGCTGGAGAGAAGATTATTTGTCTGGCACTTCAAAAATCATCAAACTGCTGCAGTTATTTCTGCATGGCTAATTTCTTTAAATTGCATTAGAAACCCCCAGTGCCTCTGACAGCCACACTGACAGGGCACAACACCCTGCAGACCAACCCAACTCACTGAGCAACGTCTGCAGCACAGACAGGTTCATATTTCGTGTTTTTCAGGGTTGGTCATAACTTTACAGAGCAGTTTAACAGCAAAAGATTAATCATGAAGTGATAAACAGGATGCAGACTATTTACTAAAGGTATGAAATCCATCATTTCCCTCTGGAATATTGTTTTGGCACCAGGGAGAAGTGCCTCGGGACAGAGAGTCTCGTCAAAACGTACTTGCCCAGACAGTACAGCTTGTGTTCCAAAATACATAACTTATGTGAGTTTAAGCAGTTTACAAGAGCAAAAGTGAAAAGGGGAAACATACTGTTCTCCCGGACAAGGCAGAATTCCAAAGTGCTCTGGCTCTCCAAGGTACAGTCTAAATCTACTGGGACATTAGGTTCACTCTGCTTCTCCAGCCGATACTGAGGACCTGCAACATAAAGTAACTTGTAAAATCATCTGTTTTCTAACAAAGTGATGGCTTAGCAGTTCAACTCACACGAGGTTGCTGGCAGCCCAGGACACAGCAGGTGGGAGTTGATGTCCCCGAGCCCCTGGCCAAAGGAAGGGCCCTGTCAGCAGCTGGAGGATGCTGTGGAAGGAAACAGCACATCCCACTGCCCACAGCTGTCCCTGCCCAACACTCCCACCTGTCCCTGCACAGGGGAGGCTGCACCAAGCCCCTGCCTGGAGTGGGAAACACCCTCGGACCTCGCTGTACTCCCTGGGGGCATTTTGGGGAACCTTTCCTGAGTGAAGAAGGGCCCAGTGTTTGCTCCCTGCTGCTCCCATCCCTCTTGCCTGCACAGAGCACTGGAAGCACCTGGGAAGGAAATCAGCCCTTACTTATGGACTGCGTCACACAGAGGGACAGATGCTGCTGCTTTGAGTGAATTATTTTCATGTTTTAACAGTAGATCTTAAAGGTTCAGGTCCCAGCTTCTTTCCTCCCCAACCAAATCCCCAAGAAAGGACAATACCACTTAAAAAGCTGTTTTACAATTACAGAAAATGTATAAAAAATTGGTTTTACAAAAGCTAGGCCAGTAAAAAAAAAATAAATCTTCTAGTTGAATGGATCCTTAAACTGCATGGCTTAACTGGAAAAAACCAGGACACTCTGATTCAATTCCAGGTGAAGCTCCTGAGCCAGCCCCAGCCCTGCTGTCCTGACAGGGGCTGGGAGAGGCCCTGGTGGGGTGGGGGCAGACCCAAGTGCACCAAGGCCCAGGTGGGACCCAGAAGAAGAAAAGCCCCTTCCAAGGGCAGGAGCTGGTGGGGCCAAAGCCCTCCTGTCCTTGCTCCACTCCTGCCCACACCTGAGAGCTGAAGCGCCAAGTTCTCAGGTGTGTATTTTCCATAAACAATAATATTCCATAAATAATTTTCCATAATCTAGTGAAATAACCTGAACAGATACCTGAAAAATCCTAAGTGATTCAAAGCCTCTTTAACCAGGTCTCAAAGTAACAAAAGACCTAGAACTGAAATTACAAAATCTGTTCCCTCTTCACCACTACTTAAAAGATTTCTGACTGTTTGCTGACTTTGAATTACGAGCATATATGATGAAATATTTAAAATATATAAAAAAATTAAGTCTTTCAGCCTCAGATGGCATGCCTAAGGAATGGAATTTGTTGGCCAATTAATTTTAAATTTACTACAGCAGAATTTCAATTACAGCTGCTCATTCCATCTCCCCACAGCCGCGTGAGGCACTCGCTGCTCGGCCGGGCCGCTCCCTCCCTGTGCAGCGCTGGGCACTCTCCTTATTCCCAGTGCCACCCAGCAGGGGCAGTGCCAGGCTTTCTGCAGGGCACAGGGGGCTCCCGCCCTGCCCAGCACAACCACTGGGGGCACGGGATGCTGCCAAAGCATCAGCAGGGCACAGCACGCAGCACAAAGAAAGGCAAACAGACCCAGCACCAACACTGCCCCTCTCCCGGCTACTGGAAATGTGATTAACTACTTAAATTTAAAATAAATTAGATAAACACAGGCCTGCTTGTTAGGCAGAAGGAAAATATACCAAATTGAAACAAATCTCAAAGCAGTAAATAAATTTGGATTCAAAATCTGGTGTAGGTTTAAGAACAGGACCAGCGAAAGCCAAACCCAATGGCTTTGTCTGTCCATCCCAAGCACCTTCCAGAGATTCCTGAGCTACACCAAGGGCACTGCTGGCACAGGTCTGAACATCTGTGCTGTTGGTACCCAGTCCCAAAGCCCTGCTCAACAGGGGCAAACCCTGACACCATGGAAGGGTCAAAGGCAGGCAGGGTTAGTGGTCCCTCTGTGAGGATCTGATTCCACCCCAAGAACATCACCCCCATCAGAACCTGTCCCCACGCTGCTGAACCTGAGGAGAGCCAGCAGGGATCACCCCTCGACACACCCTGCAGTGCCTCAGGGTCATTTCTATCTGGAGCAGCTGGAGAACCCCACGATCACGTAAACTGTTGTACCCAGTTTGTGTCAAGCCTGTATTAACTCTGCTAGGAAAGCAGAGAGCTCCAGAGCAGGTCAATGTGCCTCATGGATAACTCCTTAAAACCAGAAAATACTGAGAAAAATACTGAGAAATGAATAAAAAAGTGCAAATGGATTTTCAGAGAGTATCTACTCTTCAATTATGCTTTAAATATCTGTCCACATTTACATGACCTCTGCTTGCCAACAGATGAAGAACGTTAGGCTGACTGTGTGGAGGAGTTTTACTATCAGGCTTCTCTCACAAGTTCAAATGATGTCACTGTAGTAGGAATATTGGATAATTTAATGGTCCCCTAATGGAATCCTGCTCTGTGAATTTCAACAAATTTTCAAGTGGCAATACCAAAGATGGATTTTATGGATTTCTGTAATCTCATGCAAATGTTCAATGCAGTTGTAAAATAAACCTTTAAAATCCTGGCACGGGCTGTGCTGGCCAGTGTCCCAAGCCAAGCTCTGCTGCTGCTGGCAGCTCCCAGGGCTCCACACCCCTCCTGGGGTGATGCTCCAAACACACATCCCTTCACGCGAATCCCTGTGGGACCACCCTCACCATGGATTCTGTGCACAGACACCCACCTGGCTATTTCAAGACACCCTTTAGAGACAGGAATGTTCATCAGGAACCAAAAACAAGACCCCAGGACCCACAGTTCCCTATGAGCACACCAAGGTGCCTGGGAAGAATCCCACCCTGTAATCAAATTAAGGGTTCTCCTTGCACAAGGGAACAGCCACCTGCATACCAACAAACCAATTCTGTTGCCATTTAAGCTGCAAAGCTTTCAGAAAGGGCTTTTGAAAGCACGACCCATCAGTTCTAATTTTTAAAACTTATCCTTTCAGTCAAGACTAGAAAAAGGCCCATTCCAACTTTTATCTCCACTACAAAGTGCTGTTATCTTGGGCTGTTGTCAGGAGCTCTCTCTCTCTTTCTGCTGACAAGCAGAGACTAGAGAGATAAGATTGGGAACGAATCTCACTTCTCTGAGTAAATAAATAATCAATACTCATCTAAATGTAAATGAGAAAGTATCCCCCTCTGATAACAGGGCTCTTATCAAACAGCCAATTTTCTGCAGACATTTGGCCTCAACCAAATCACCATCATTCAGCCCCAGCCTAATGGCTAAAAATCGTAACTAAATTGAACCGATCACCAGAGATCAACTAAGTTCAGCCATGGCTACTACGGGTTCAAATGTTTGGAATGCAATTTTTCCCCCATTAACTTTCAATAGCAATGAAGAATGCCACGGTCAGGGGTGAATCTGCACAATAAACAATACTAACACTGCAGCAGGGAACCAGGCTTTAAACAAAACCCCAACTAAACCCCCTCCATCTCCAAACTAGTTACTAGGGTGAAATAAGGATTATAGAAAGAATATTTAATGTTTGTGGAGTTGCCAAACCTAAACAAAATACCAGTGTCAACAAAAACCCCCAAACTGTTGAAAACTGAGGCTACATTTTACGGCATTAGTCTCTGCAACAAAACACATCCCTATGCCTGTATATCCCTCTCTTCACCTTCAAGAGCTCCCATAATCCTCACCAACACCCCACTTCCACCTTTGCTATATCAGTTGTTTCTGTTCCCTTTACAGTCCATGCATTTGTCCAAAACACTTTTGGATTTCCCATTTCTATGACATTTACCTCCTCAATTTATTACAGTGTGAGGAAAAGTATTCCTCTTGTTCCAATGAGCCATTGCCACCCCAGTGTTTGGGGTGAGCAGCTCCTGTCTCTGAACTACCAGGATAAAACCTTCCCAATTCACTGTCCCCACCACCTGCCCTTCACAGACACCTCTCACACCCAGTTATGCCCTTTCCACACCTGAAAAGCCCTTCCCTCCTCAGCATCTGCTCCTCATTTCACGTGCCTGATCCATTTCCATACTCATCCCTTTCTGCATCTCTTCACTTCCCTCTTTTGAGACAAAATACAGCAATTAAGACGTGGGTACGTTGGGATTTATGGACTCAGCTCCTGATGCTCCATTTGTCTTTCTGCCTGCTCCTGCACAGAGCTGAAGTGTTCAGAGAACTACTGTGATGATGCTGGATACTTTTCCTGACTGATGGAAGGTAATTAGAGCCCATCATTGTACACATATAGTTACAGTTGCTTTTCACCATGTATATTATTTTGTACTCATTGACACTGACTTCCCTCTCTCGTTTTATTGTCCTGTCACTCAGCACTGTGGATACCTCTGCAGTGCTTCACAGACAGCTTTTATTTGCACTATTCTTACCTCTTTTGTATCAACAGCACATTTTGTCACATCAGCATTCACATCCTTTCCATGCCCCACATTAAGGAACAATGCAGGTTCCACCAGTTCCACTGGAGCTCCACCAGTAACCTAGTTACTAATCACCAAGGGCCATTATTCCTATTCTTTGTTTCCTGTCTTTTAATCAATTATTAATCCATGTGAGGATCCTCCTTCTCATCCTGTGACAGCTTAATTGCTTTATGAGCCTTTGTCAAATCTTTTTTGGAAATCTGAGCGTGCCATGGCAAACCCACCATCCCCTTCAGATGGTCTCTGGCTCCCTCTCAGCGTGCTGGAGCACAGCCTGCTCTGCCACAGCCATGCCCCTGCATGCTGCAATTGCTCACATGCCATCCATTAATCCTGCTCTTTGCTGGGGGCTCCTGTTACAATTTCTGTTTGCACACCCTGACCCTGCTCCTGCTCCTCTGCAAGCACCACGGGGCCACAGAACTCAGGGAACTCCTCCAGTGCCACCCCTGCCCTGCTGGAACCTTCCCTGCCCCAGCCTGCTCAACCCGGCCTTGGGCACTGCCAGGGATCCAGGGCAGCCACAGCCTCTGGGGCCAGAGGAAATAACAAAGGGAAAGAAAAAGTAACAAAGAAAAACAGAAAGAAAAGATCAGAAACGCGGGCAGTTAGGC